CGCCAGTTTTCAGCGCCATTCGAAAAAAAAATATACTATAGACTTTGTCTTATGAAAAACGTCCAGTTCGAGCAAACTCGGAGAGCGCTTCAGTCAGAGTAAAGGGATCTAAAACGGAAAGGCATGGGCAACAAGGCTAATGCTTCTGCTGCTTTAAGAGAGGAAGATATTCAAGTTCTGTTTGAAAAGGATCTCTTAGGAAGTTTCACGGCAGAAGCGCTTTTAAACACGGTATGGTTCAACAACATAATCCATTTCGGGTTACTATGCCGCAAGGAGCACAGAGAAATGTGTTGGGGAGACGTTAAACTTTGTCAAAACTTCCACGGGGCAGGAGTACCTCGAATTCAACAAAAGAGAAACCAGAACTCGTTCAAGAAACGATCCACGGAATGTAATAGCCATTGCACCGAAAATATCTGCTGTGCCGAACAACCAGAAATGTCCAGTAAAAGCCTACAAAGCCTACGCAGAAAAGCGACCCGTGGAAATGGAAACCAACGATGCACCGTTTCCTTTGACAGTACTCAATGTAAAATCTGGCAACAACGACGTACCGCCAACTGATATTATGCAACTGTCAGGTCACAAAAACTGTTCAAAGTATCACTCGGTACTCTAACGTCTCCCAGAAACAACAGTTGAATATGAGTCACACTCTCACTGGACGAGTTCGAGAGAAATAGCTCCCCAGTCTGGCTCTTCTATTCCGGAGAAAAGAAAGTATGAGTTTGACGAACTCAATTATCCAACATTTCGTCCGACTTTTTCTCACTGGCAAGCAGCACAGCAGCCCCTTTCTCTTTTTTGGATTGCTGTTATAAGCGGAGGACATATAGGTGTGGCAATAAACACTTTAAATCAATCGGCCACACTTTCAGTGCGAGAGGAAAACCCTAGCAAAACTTATAAAAGAATCAAACCTCTTGATTCGGAATTTTACTATTGTTTGTCAATTCAAGCATGCGGGTTCTGATAAGCAACAAAAAATGTCTCAGGTTTTTCGACATATTTTCAGGATGTCTTATTTTATTCTAACTAGCTCTGCCTTTTAACGAAATTTTTGCTCGATAATTTAAATGTAAAGTATTTTACAAGGAAGCCATTTGAGTGCAACTTTCGAACTGTGAGGCGGCTTGACCGCGCGTTGTTTTCCTTTGAAAGCAAATAAAGACATGTTTATCTTTGAGCTCTGCTCGCTTATTAATCCAGCTATGTATATAATAAATAAGTTATTTCACGGTTAGTTCCCTTGCGCGAATTTTATTCACTCCTTGTCAATAAAAATCGTACGCGCTCACCAACCGTGAAACAACCTACAATTGTAATCTGATCTTGGCATCTTACGAGCTCTTCGTCTTTAGCACTGTGGTATATACCTTCAGGAACGAAAATTTAACGCGAGGATAATTAAATTTAACATGGTCGAAGGTACTAACGAGTCTTTTTTAGCTC